CTGCTATGCCCTGACATTCAACATCAGCAAAGGTAGATACATGAGGAAAGTTGCATTGTCTCATCAAAGAAGAAAATACATATGTTATGAATTTTATATATATATATATATATATTATATATGTATGTATATATGTGCACACATAATTTTGCAAGTCATAGAGTGCTATATGTTAATATCATTAGCTATCATTGACTAACATTATTATTATTATTATTATTATTCCCTATGAGACATCTTATTCTAATGCCTCACCTGGAAATTATTTTGTATTTATTTTGCATAAACTTATATACGTACTGGTTACCTTTTCAGATTGCTTGTAAGTTCCTTGAGAGAAGGGACTGTTTCTTTTTTATCTTTGTATCCCTGGAAGGTAATAGAGTATCTGGCACATCCTAGGTACTTTATCCATGCCATTTGATTGACTATTTTTATATTTTTTTTTTGGTCAAAATTGTATTCAGGTGGGTTGTTTGAAGGAATGAAAGGAAGAGGAATCAGGTTATTTCTTTTCAAAAGTGATTTTCTTCTGAAGGGTCCAATGTATTTTCAACATATTCTTTAGGGTGAGGCAGATCAGTGATTGTACTGAATTCCCCCTTCACCAAGCCACTTCCTGGGAGGACCTTAGGTCTTCTTTCCTTTTTTCCTACCCCTTTCCCCCCTTGCTCCCTCTCTTCCTTTTTTCTTTCTTCCCTCCTTCCTTCCCTCCTTCCTTCCCTTTTTCCTTCCTTCCTTCCTTCCTTCCTTCCTTCCTTCCTTCCTTCCTTCCTTCCTCCTTCCCTCCTTCTTCCTTCCTTCCTTCCTCCTTCCTTCCTTCCTTCCTTCCTTCCTTCCCTCCTTCCTCCTTCCTTCCCTCCTTCCTCCTTCCTTCCTTCTTCCTTCCTTCCTTCCTTCCTTCCTTCCTTCCTTCCTTCCTTCCTCTTTCTTTCTTTCTTCCTTCCTTCCTCTTTCTTTCTTTCTTTCTTTCTTTCTTTCTTTCTTTCTTTCTTTCTTTCTTTCTTTCTTTCTTTCTTTCTTTCTTTCTTTCTTTCTTTCTTTCTTTCTTTCTTTCTTTCTTTCTTTCTTTCTTTCTTTCTTCCCTGAATATCCTATAGGTTTGCTTGAAAGCAATAATTTATGCTGGAACACTCTAGCATATTGAAAGAGAGAAGACAACTTGTAAGTGTACATTTTAAGTAAACAGTTATGGTTTATTAATCTAGTAAACATCTGTTGATTGTTGGAGAAGCTGAGAGAAGAGAGGCACACTAATAAATTTTTGGTAGAATTACAAATTGGCTCAAACATTCAGGAAAACAATTTTGAATTATGGGAGAAAAATTTGGTAAACTGTGTATAACTTCGACTGTGGAGTCCTAGTATTAGGCATGTTCCTTAAGAATTTAAGAGACTGAAAGAAAAATCCCATATTTATTAAAATAAAACAACAACAACAACAAAACCTGGAAGCAAAAGGGTCCCTATAGATCAAGGGATGATTGAACATATTGTAATTTATGAATATGATGGAATATTATGATACTGGAAGAAATGACAAATAAGAGGAATTCTGAGAAACTTGGGAAATCTTGCAGGGGCTGATGCAGAGTTAAGTAAGCAGAACCCAGAGAACAGAATACACAGTGACTAAATAATGAATGGACAGCTAGGTGGCGCAGTGGATAGAGTGCTAGACCAAGAGTTAGGAGGATCTGGGTTCAAATTTGGCCTCAAACACTTACTAGCTGTGTGATCCTGGGCAAGTCATGTCACCCTGTTTGTCTCAGTTTCTTCAACTGTAAAATGAGCTGGAGAAGGAAATGACAAACCACTCTAGCATCTTTGTGAAGAAAACCCCAAATGTGGTCATAAAGAGCTGGACATGACTGAAAACAACTAAACAACAAAAATAATAATGTAAATGAAAACTGAACGGTAGCCAAAATCAGATTTATTGTAATTGCCAATGTTGGTTCTAGAGAAAAGTTAATGAAACATATTTCCCTCCTCTTAGTAGAGAGAAGGGGACTATGGGTGCTATATGTTGCCTGTGCTGTTAGATTTGGTTGCTATGGTGTTGATGCACTGTTTTTCTTTGCTTTAAGAGAGGGTTAAATTTGATGGTAGGGAGGTAGCATTTTGGAAAATGACTATTATATAAAAACAGAAAAACATACATGAAACATAAAAATGTGAGTGTCCAATGTGTTTTAGATACCATGGGGGATACCAGGAAGAAGACCTGGACCCTGAATCATAGAGCTGACATTCTAGTAGTGGTAGACAAGCCATATACATGAGTAACTGCCAAAACAATGTGTAAAAGTGCATTAGGAACAGTACAGCATGTTGAGAGTTTAGAGGAAATGGGGTTCACTTTCCACTGAAGGAGAGTCAGGGATGGTTTCATGGAGAAGGTGATATTCTGAGTAAAGACCTTGGAGAAGTACTGCCTTCTCTGGGCCTCAACCTTCTCACCTGTACGTTGACGGGATTTAAGTATTTGGTCTTTAAGGCCCCTTCTGTTGCTAAATCTTTATTCACGATGCTTTTTGGTAAAAATAGGACAATCAGAGCTGGGGGTGGTGGTAGGGACAAATACCTGAGCAAAGATATGGGAATGGAAGAATACAGGAAATGATTGGGGAAAGGTGAGTTTTAGTACAATGTCCTCATCTCTTATACCTGCTTTAAGAGGCTTTCATAGAAGAGACCTAATTACTAATTACCATTAGTAATGGTAAGAGCAGTTTTTGGATGAACACATTCAATTTGTGCATAAGGAACATGAAGGGAAAGAGTGGGAAATACAAATTAGAAAAATAAGATGGGATCAAGTTGTGAAGGAATCAAGAAATAACAAATACTGAAAAAAAGTAGCTCAATGTACTCATAGAGTGGTTGGGGAAATGGAAAGAGTAATGATGTGGCTTGTTATGTTCATATGTCAAACCAAGATACAACCAGGCTTGTATTTCAGTTCTCCTCATTTTTAGTGCAGACCTCTTTGTGCTTGATTCTGCTGCGTGAATGAATTTCCTTGTAATGATTATGATGATGATGATGATGATGATGATGATACAAGTATATAGCTTTTAGAGTTTGCAAATCACTTCACAAATATGATCTCATTTTATCTTCCCAACAACCTTGTGAGGCAGGTACTATTATTATCCTTATTTTATAGATAGAGAAACTGAGGCAGGAAGAGATTAAGTAACTTGCCCGGGATCACATAGCTAGTACTAGACTGAGGCCTAAGGCCATATTTGAAGTTGGTTTTCCAAGTCCACCAGTAAGTCCAACACTCTATCCACTGAGTCATCTAACTGCCATGGTGTGCATATATGCCATGGTGTGCATATATATCTTTGATTCCTTTTGCATAATATTGGCTTGACAGTCTGCTAGTGAAAGGGTGTGTGTGTGTGTGTGTGTGTGTGTGTGTGTGTGTGTGTGTGTGGAGGGGGACAGGGAGTTAGAGTTGATTGGAGACAGTTGTATTGACATATATGTTTGAATAAAAATTTGAACCAAATAAACTTTTTAACCCAGGTCATTCTGGCTGCTAGTCTTTCCCAATGTATGTTATGGGCACTTGTCTTTTTGCAAACCTATGATGACCAAGGTTTAAAAAAAGCTCCAAGAACTTGCCCTCTACAAAAGGAGAAACTCAACTTCTGAAAATAGTTCCTTAGTTTGTTATACTGATAAATAATTATTGACTGGCAGAGATATCATCTCAGATGGAGACAGTTCGCTCCCTCCAAATCCATGCTTTACATATTCAGAATGCCCAGGGTCAAGAGCTGATTCCTGGGATGATGAGGTTACCCAGGGAGAGATAGGAAGGTTATGTCAGTGCAAACAAGGCTACATTTGGTCCCTTGCTTTTTCAGCTTTGGCATTTTCTTTCAGGTTGGTGTTGCAAATAAAACCTTGACCTTGAATGTCAAGTAATTGTGTGTGGGAGCTGGAGTAGGAAAGAGAGAGTGCAGTGCTGAGGGAGATAGTTTGCTTTTTAAGTGAGCGATGCCAATAACCTGTCAAATAAAATTAAGGTTCAAAACATAAAGCTTCATATTTTACTTTGCTGGGATTGGAGGCCATCATTCAGATGGAATACAATTGATTTTATTTTGACAGAACTCAAAGAGCATTAAACTGTGAGAGTCACTATAGTGTTAAGAATTTAACAAATGTTTCCTGTAATTTGCAATTTAACTAAAACCATATCCTGGGTTAGATTGACAGGTCTTGCTTTCTTGCCCATCCTACCCTCACCTGTGGTCTTGTCTCTGCTGTTATTGACTTCATCTCTTTATTTTTCTCTCTTTTTGTTCTCTTTCTCCTTTCTGGTTCTCTTCTTTGCCTTCTCTCCTTTGCTTTTACTCCTTCTTTCTCTATTAATTTCTTCTCATGGTAGTGGCTAGCATTCTGGACTTGGATTCAGGAAGACCTGAGACCAAGTCTTACCTCTGACAATCAGATCACAGGATCTTGGAACTAGAATTGAGAGGAATCTTGGAACTCATCTAGTCTGATCTCTCTATTTTATATATGAGGAAATAAAACCAAGAACTCAAGTGAATTATCCAAGATCACACAAGTAGGAGGAAGAAAGCAGAGCCAGGATTTAAACTCAGAAACTGTGATTTCAAGTCTTATGTTCTTTCTTCTGCACTATCCTGTGTTCAAATCTTACTTCTGACAGTAACATGTGACTCTGGCTAAGTCTTTTAACATCATCGAAATTCAGTTTCCTCACATCTATGGGGGTAATAAAACTTACATTGCCTATGCCAAGGGCATTGTGAAGATCAAATTAGATACTAAAATGATTTGCCAACTTAAATTTGCTATAAAATTTCAGTTATTATTAAAAATGTAATGGAATTTTTAAAAGTTATTTTTTCCCAGGGTATTATTCATCCCTGTCCCTAGTGATGGAGAACTAGCTTTTATAGAAACCAACAGTGAATGAGGGTGTGTGTATCTTGGTCTTTGTGATACAGGTGGGGAAATGGGAGAATCAGACCCTGAGCCTGACACATTCCGTGTGGCCGAGGTACAAATCGTTTGCCGACTGTGAGCCGGATGACAACCATCTGAGCATCGTCACTCTGGAAGAAGCTCCATTTGTCATTGTGGAAGACATAGACCCGTTAACTGAGTCCTGTGTGCGAAATACTGTGCCGTGTCGGAAATTTGTCAAAATCAAGTAAGGGAAAAAATCCTTAATGGGAAATACTTCAATATAATTTATTTGCTATATCAAATATGGACAAATGCTATTCAGTAATGCCTATTTTGTGGGTTTCAGTAGAGTACAAAGAATGATAACCCTAGGAAATGTGGATTTTAGTCCTATGTCTTTTAATTAATTCTTTATCCTCTGAACAGGATATTTAATGAAATAATGGGATCATAAATTTAGAGTTTTCAATGTGACCTTAGAGATCTTCTAGTCCAACTCCTTTGTTTTACCGCTTAGGACACATAGAGTCAGAGACCTAAAGTGACTTGTATAGAATCCCATCGCTAATAAGTAACTGAGCTGAGATTTGAATTCATACTAGCTCTATCCTGATTCATGAAAAAATTTTCCCATAATCCATTTAGGTTTCTGATCTCCCCTAAACAAAGTTAAAAAATAAAATATAGTTATGTACTTGTTAACAAGGTTATAATAACCAAGAAACTGCTCTTTGATTTCATTTGATCCCAAATCCAGTGTTGTTCCCATTATGTTACATGGAATTTCCCTAGTCCTCAGTTTCCCCATTTGTAAAATGACCTCTGAGGCCCCCTCCAACTATGATCCTGATTCTGTGAAGTCTTTCTCAAATCAAATATGCTATGGTTTTAATTTCCAGGTCTTTCAAATAGTAGATTATTCAGGGAATAGAACTTGACATCAGTTGAGTCTAAGAGAGAGTTCATAGTTAACCTTCCTGGTTAAGGATCAAGGAAGGCCCATGGTGGGGAAATTCCCCTGCAAAGAGGACCTGGGAGTATGACATGGTGAACCAGAATTGGTAGCTAGAAACAGCAAGTGCTGAACTGTGGGGATGAACGAAGGAGTGATGGCCCAATGGCAAGAGGGGTTAAGTGCCCAATAATACTGTAGAGAGAGTGCTTCAGTGTGATGCTTTCTGGTCCCTTTAAAATGGCATCTTTTTTTCATACCCAGCCTTTCATACCTTAGCTTTTGCCACCATTGTTCATGTTATTTTCCATCAAAATATCCAGCTCTAAGCCAGGTGAGATAGTTTACATTCTGATCAACCAATCTTCCAATTAAGAAGCATTGATTTATTAAGTGCCTACTATGAGTCATGCATATGCTAGATGCTAGGGATACAAAAAAAAAATTCTGGACCCTTTATTTCCATAGGTAGGGTCAATATGTAGACATACACATACTTATACACAATACCTACCCAATAAAGTAAGGTAATTTGGTGGAGGAGGCACTCATAGCTAGAGGGACTCAAAAAGTCTACACATGAATTTAGCATGTGAATTGAAATATAGAAATAAGTTGGAATGGAACTTAGGGAGGATCATAGCATAGTGGTCATAGGACTGGACTTGGAATTAGGGGAACTTGGGATGCGATGACACTTCTACTCTTACTAGATGAATGACTCTTGTCAAGTCACTTATTCCCTCCAAGCCTCAGTTGCCCAATCTATAAAACTGAGATAACAACACTTATCTCACAGGGTTATTGTGAAGATCAAATGCAATGAAGTCTATAAATTATTTTGCATACATTAAAGTGTTATAAAATATGAGCTCTATTTATTTTACATATGAAGAGAATGATGCTTTGAAAGATGAAGTGACTTGTCCAAGGTCATATAGGTTCTAAGTAGCAGAGATGAGATTTGAAATATTTTAAGTTTTTAATGCTTAAATAGTCACTAAGATTTGGGGGAAACCCTGTATATTGCTGTTTCTACTACATCCTGCTGTCTCCTTCACTTCCCTGATCCTTTGTGGTGGGATAGAGTTCTCAGTTTTGCTCCTAATTTCTTTTCTTACCAACACTGGAAGACAATGGATTCTCCCCTGGAAGAATAAGCATGCCCCTTCTTTTCAAAGAATCATCTGAGACAAAAAAAAAAAAATCAAGTTGTGCAATATAAGTGGTTTTGGCACTGAACAGGCTGCCTCCAAAGCAAGTTTACCTGCAGGAAATGTAATCAGTTTAATCCTTGTTAACATTGGGGGATAAAGAGATTCCAATTGTCCTTAACACTCCTAGACAAGGCACCACTGTTGATTATCACTTGGATACCTTATAAGTAGCAAGTATCCAAATGGAAATAGCATAGCAGGCAACAATCTCCTCGTCTAATGGCCAGACTGAAATTTAAACTTATTTAGTTGTTTATATTTTTGGGTAGGAAAGTAAATGTTTTTTTTTTTTTCCCAAAGGAAGCTGTTATCAGGTGTTCCCTCCCTCCCTTTCTTGGTACTTGTGAATACTGATCTAGTGATCTATTTGGATTTAAGAGAGTGGCAATTTGAATCTATTGATCTGAATTCTGAAGTGTTTTCTCACCAGGCCAGACCACATTCCCTATAATTTTTTGTTACTAAAGAGCTACATTATACCTCTCTCTCTCTGTCTCTCTCTTTCTTTCTTTCTTCCTCCCTCCCTTTCTTTCCTTCCATCCTTTTTTCTTCTTTCTTTTCTCTCTTCCTCTTTCTTTCTTTCTTTCTTTCTTTCTTTCTTTCTTTCTTTCTTTCTTTCTTTCTTTCTCTCTCTCTCTCTCTTTCTCTCTCTCTCTTTCTTTCTTTTCCTTCCTTCCTTCCTTCTTCCTTCCTTCCTTCCTTCCTTCCTTCCTTCCTTCCTTCCTTCCTTCCTTTTCCTTCTTTCTTTCTTTCTTTCTTTCTTTCTTTTCTTTCTTTCTTTCTTTCTTTCTTTCTTTCTTTCTTTCTTTCTTTCCTTATTTCCCTCCTTTCCTTCCTTCTTTCCTTCCTTCCAAAATTATGACTTCTAGTTAGTTACATGTCTAATATTGAAACGGCTACTCAGTAATGGGCCTTCCAATTACTGCTTTCCCTCCTTCCACAGCCCCCCCCCAATTCCCAAATGTCAAGGAAAACTCTTTATTTTATTCATTGCAAAATAAAGAGGTCTTCAATACAGATGGATCTCTTCCCACCATGGCACCCTGCAATGAAGGGGTTATTAGGGCATTGATGTCTATGCTTATCCCTTAGGGGAAGCCCCTAAATTGATGCTTGGTTAAAGGACTTTATGCCTCTGTAAGATATTTCCAGATCAAGGGGAATACTTTATCAGAAACACTCATTGAAAATAGCAGCCTTTTCCCTGTATATAAAGAAGGGAAAGTGTTATAGATTTAAATTTTGCTAAAAGCCAATTAACTCAGAAGCTGTCACAGGAGCAGTCTCTAGATGATCTTAACCTGCAAGGCTGATGGTAGTTATATGTCAATGCCAAGCAAGGGAAAGGAAAAGAAAAATTAATACAATACAGATCCAGTAAATACCCAAGAGATAGGAAGGAAGGGCAAAATTTGAAAAAAAAATAGACCTAAAGGAAAGCTTAAGGAAAGACCAGAGGGTTGCATGACACAGTAGAAAGATCAATATAGGGATTGTTTCTTTCTCCATATTTGTATTCCAAGTGCCTAGAACAGTGCCTAGAACTCATTAGACATCTATTTAATGCTTATTGATTGGTGGATTGACTTAGGTTCAAATCTCATCTCTGATATTTACAACCTGTATAACCTTTGGACATGTCACTTTGTCAGAACATCATTGTCTTCATATATAAAGTGAAGAGGTTTGATGAAATAATTACAGCTTGCATTTTCATAGCACTTTAATGATTTATAGATATTTATAGACAAAGTGATTTATAAACATCATTGTATTTGATCTTCACAACCACCCCGTGAGGTAAGTGCTATTGTTACCCCCAGTGGGAGACAGAGGATCTGGGTTCCAATCTCATCTCTGTCACTAGACTAGAAATAAGGAAATGGGTTCAAATTGTGACTTTGATGCTGGCTAATCATGTATCCTTTCTCAAGTCACTTCAGCTATCAGGGCCTCAGTTTCCTCATCTATAAAATGGAAGAGTCATCATCCACTCATGGACCCCAGGTTAAGAACCCCTGCCCTGGACACATGGATATTAAATGATTTACCCAAGTTTACATAGCTAATGGGAAGCTAGGTGGTGCAGTGAATAGAGTACTAGGCCTCGAGTCAGGAAGACTCATATTTTTGAGTTCAAATCTAGCCTGAGATACTTACTAGCTATGTGTCCAAAAATTGTAGGATTTTTGACAATTATTTTCATTTCTGCCAGAGAGATATTTTTGGGTGCATGGGACAAACTACACAAGCTCTTATGCCTGTCTTATGTCAGAAAACTGCAGAGGAATTTATTTAAATCTAGTATTTGTGAGAAATTGAAGAGATGTCACAAATTCCTTTAGGAAATCACTGGAAATGCCTGTAGGTGCCTCTAAACCTAGCATGGACTGCAAAAGTCCTATAAGAACTAATGTAATAAGACTAGAAAGATTTAGGATTCCTGCTGAACACAATAGACAGCTGCGGTGGGGGGGGAGGGGGACTGTGGAGAGAAAAATAAAATTTGTGTTTTCTCTTGAAAATGGTGTTGATCTTAAGGGAATATTTGAGTAATCATGATCCATTCCAAGGGTCTTATACTAGGTACTTAGTAGGAGATCCAGACCCCAGTGCTTTAATCAAGTTCTTAAGCTGACTTCAGGGAATTTACACTCTGGTTAAATCACATTTGACGTATGAAGGAATTACTTATGACCTTCCAGAACCACAGGATGCTGTGAGAGACCAGAGACAAGAATGTGAATAAGGAGTTGTATTTGGCTTAATCTTCTCAGCTTCCAGATCAGGAGAATGTAATGTTTCTAGAAGGAAGAATCTCTTCTCTATGGGGAAGCGCAATGTGCACAGAATATTTTTTTTTTGTATTGGATAGAATGAATTAAATAGAATAATTGACTTGAGTTCAAATCTAGCCTCAGACACTAGTTGTATGACCCTGGACAAATCATTTAACCCCAATTGCCTGTCCCCCCTAAAAAAAACAAAAAGGAAAAAGATCGTGGTTGGATATAACCAAGAAAGAAAAATTTCTGAGCATAGGATTTACTTTTTATTAAGATAGTCAATTAGAATCTGGAGAAGAATTAGATTTTAACCTATTTAAATTTAATGAATTGAGACAGTGATTCATAGTAATTAAGAAGCTGACCTTTGAGTCAGGAAGATCTGGGTTCAAGTCCTGCCTTTGACATATATTGGTTTTCTGACCATAAGCAAGTCAATATCCCAAGGATACCGCTCAGTTGTAAAGTGAGTGTCATTTGTTTTGACAGAAGGAGTTGCCTTGCAGGGACTTCCCTATACTAATAAAAGCACAAGTCTGGCCCAAAGAAAAGAAAAAGGGGAAAAAATTACAGCATCATCATTAGCTAAAATTGTAAGCCAAGCTTTTTAGAAGGAAGGGGAGAGGGAGAGAGGGAGAGAGGGAGAGAGAGAGAGAGAGAGAGAGAGAGAGAGAGAGAGAGAGAGAGAGAGAGAGAGAGAGAGAGCGCAGAAGAGAGAAAAAGAGAGAGTTTTATTTACATCCAACACCCTTCCTCACTTTACATCACCTTTAATTGGGACAAATTGATTGGCTTTGCTTCTCAAGGCAATTTATTATTAAATTTTAAGGATTCTTCATTCAGAGGAACAGAGAATGGCTCTGGGAGCATGTTGTAGTTAATATAGTAATAAAGACTTTCCATGCCTTTGAAGAAGTAGAATTGAGCCAATGGAATATATGTTGTACTGATTCCTTCTCAGTGAATGGGAAAGAGTAATTTTATTGTATATGGTAAGTTAGTCTTCAGCAATCAAGTATCTGAGAGCCTGGGACCATGATGGACTGGCCAAGTGGGTTTTTCTTTCAATGCTTCTAATCCTAGGGTGAACATTTTGAGTAGACTTTGGTCAAATGAATAAAGTGGGGTAACTGATGCAAAGTCCCATGTCTGATAAAGATGATGATGCCACATATAAGATAATAATATCTTACCTTGTAATCTCTTGATTTTAACTTATTCACTTTTTTAACTTATTTCACTTCTGTCATCACTTTGATCCTTGCAATAACCCTTGAAACAAGTAAACATATTTTTGAATTCCTATTTGACAAATGAGGAAACTGAGGCATAGAAAAACCATACCAAATACTGGGAGAGTTGGGATTGGTGTCAAGTTCTTCTGACTTTCAGCCTCAGTCCATTTTGACTAGACCATACTTCCTCTCTGAAACATACAGACAGTTCCATACCCATTTCTTTGATTATGTCATTGAGTCATGTTCTCACTATGCCTGAGTATTCCTATGTATCCTCTGGTCCTTTCTTAGTTTTATTTTTTAACTACTGTATTTACACAAATAGCATTTATACAATGCATCTTACATCAGATTGATCCTCTCTGGCTTTAAGAGATATTATTCCTGGAGTAGAGGCAGCATAATGCACTGGATAAAGGGCTCACATTAGAGTCAGAAGCACTTATGTTCAAGTCCTGCTTCTTACACATATTAGTATTGTGACTAAGGCCAAGTTTCTTAATTTTTCAGTGTCCTAGGCAACTCTCTAAGGTAGGAATTCTTAATCTTTTTTTTTTTTTAATGGGTCATGGCTTGTTAAGGTAGTTTGGTGAAGCCTACAGACATTTTCTCAGAATAATGATTTTAAATACATAAAAGAAAATTTATAGGATTACAAAGGAAAACAATAATATTGAAACAAATTTATTAAAATGCCAAAAAGGAAAATAAAAGCAGTTCACAAACCCCAGGTTTTGAACCCCTGCTCTAAGACTAAAACTGCAAATAGTTACTCATCTACATTGATGGAGGAAAATTCTACCCTCAGAACTCCCTAGACTAATGAAATTGAAAGTTGGTATTAAAATCTTGCCTGGAATGCACTTCCTCCTCATTACTCTGTTAGAATCCTTTGCTTCCTTCAAGACTAATGTGCTTTCTAGTCCTTGAAGCCTTCCCTGATCCCTCTAGCTCAAAGTATTCTCTGTCCTTAAGGTTTCCAGGTTCACTTTATTTAAATTTCTCCTTTCTTTTCATTACACTTTATGTATCATGTGTGTACATGTTTTCTCCACCCTTCCCCAAAGCCCCTTTCTCTCTATAGAAAGCTGTAAGTTCTGAAAGGGCAGGAAGGACCACTTGGGTCTTATCAGTCTTTGAACCCTCAGAGCATAGCACATTGCAAATAATCATAGTTTTAATACTTACATTTCTAATAATACTTTAAGGTCCACAAAACCTTCACAACAGCCTTGTGATAGAGGTATTAGAAATTGAATAGATGTAGGTTGAATTGAATTGCATTCCTTTTATTTTTATAGCAACTCAACCAATGAGGGGACCAATGTAAAGAAATGCTGCAAGGGCTTCTGTATTGACATCCTGAAGAAGCTGTCTCGGACTGTGAAGTTCACCTATGACCTCTACCTGGTGACCAATGGGAAGCATGGGAAGAAAGTCAATAATGTGTGGAATGGAATGATTGGAGAAGTAAGTGAGGTTAGGTAAAAGCTCCCATAAGGGAAGGTTTGGGATTTGAAATTCAAGAGAGTGAAAAATAAGGACTCCCTGATGAGCAGTGAGATGCTCTTCTTTTTCTTGCCCTGGTTCCAGGTGGTGTACCATCGAGCCGTCATGGCAGTGGGGTCTCTAACAATTAATGAGGAACGTTCAGAGGTGGTGGACTTTTCTGTTCCATTTGTGGAGACAGGAATCAGCGTCATGGTTTCCCGAAGTAATGGCACAGTATCTCCTTCTGCCTTTTTAGGTATGGACCCTGCTTTTTAAAATAATGCTTTGGGACTATGATTGGCCATCAGAAGAGAATCCTTGATAGGTTGCTTTGATTTTTAGGGATTGGGGGCTATTGACTATTCTCTCAGGCCATAGATATCTGTGATCATGTGTGCAGAGCAAAAATAGAAGCAGCTTTTATGGTGACTGGAGAATGCCAATACTTCATTTGTATTACTCCAGTTACCTGGTAATGACCATCTTTTTTCATTCCTTCCTCTACTGGATAAGAGATACAATTACACATTCAAACAATGACCTTGTGAGTTCATGGTAAAGTACAGTATTGCTCTGTAGAAGCATTACAGAAGAGATCATCTCCCCCACCTCCCCCAATCCATTTGCAGCAACCAATAAAATACTCTTATATTCTTGCATCTCTACTTCACATTTACTAGAATGATAGAAATTATTTCTTTCTCATGCAGGATAGATCACAAAAGGATAATGGTTCCTCGTACTGTCCATGTGTTCCTTGCTTTTACCAAGAGGTATACTTTTAAAAATGTGTAAATTGAGCTATATTTTAAATGTGTAAAAGAAACAGATATTTTAAGTTCTGTGTTCTTATAAAGGATTGTTTTATGACATGAATTATCATCTTCCCCTTTTTTTTCATAAGTTTAAAGTTTTCTTTTTTTGTTTTGGTTTGGTTTTTTAGGTATGGGTGGTGTGAAAGCAAGGCACGTCTATGCTTTCTATTCCCTTATTTTCTAGGTATTGAGTCTGTGAGCCCAAGCTAATGTTTTTGTCTGCAATAGCAAAGCCATATAAGTCATAGCTGATCATTTTTGTTATGGGGCCAAAGAAAATGCTGTGATTTTATCATGATGTTATCTTAAATGGTTTGCTAAGTGGAACTAGCCTAAAGCAGTCTGAGGGAAACTTAAGGCCATGTTTCATTCCCAGAACCTTGAGATGCGACAGAATGGACTGTTCCTCCTAATTGCCTGCCTTCAAAAAAAGAGTAGAATCTTTCTTTGATTTACTAAATGAAGACTATCAATGTGATACTTAGCCTTTTGGCTGGAAACAGAGACATGAAATAGTCAAATTAGGCTCAAAGAGATGATAAAGATGTTAGGCACCATTCAGGGTTTACTAGAATAATGGTTTTTTGCACATGTTTGAGTTGGGGAATATTGAGGAAAAGGGACTGTTAATTTCTTGCAGTTTACTAACATTAGGCAAAGTTTTTTGCTCAACAACCTTGGGTATATCTGGAAAGGACCATAGGATCACCATGCTAATAATAGTAATAATAATGATAAAAACAATAAAATTATGTATTATATATATATATATATATATATATATATATAATATTTAGTAATTTAAGGCTTATACGTTTCTTTATGTATGCATTGCATATTATGTATTTACAAACATAGCTGTTTTCAGGGCTGCTCATCCACTTTTGGTGTCTACCTGGGACTCAACTCTCACCTATTCATCTAAGAAGCTGTAGCATGTGCAGCAGCCACAGTCTGGTAAATCCTCTTGGCAGACAGGCTAAACCAGGTTGAGGGCAATCAATGGGGCTCGAACTCATTGGTGAGTTAGGGGGATGTTTATCCCAAGCATGTAAAGACCTCTCCCAGTGGAACTGGTGGATAAGAACAGTTTGTTCCAATGGCCATGAAGGCAGTTGAAGCAGGCTCTGTGGTGCACTTAGAGTTTGGTCAGGCATTGAAGACACCAAGGTCATCCACTGAATCCCAGATCATTGACAATTATCTTGACTTTTGTCTTGCCACTGGACTCTGATGACTGGAAGGGAAGAATGAGGTTGACAACTTTGTGTAACTCTGCCTCACTTAAATCCAATTCACCTACAAATGAAGACATTGCCCTTTCATGTGATCAGCTCTCTTCAAAAATGAAAGATAAAAAACAATGTTATGTATTATCTTTGATCCTCACAAACACAATGTAAAGTAGTTATTACTATTCTCATTTTAGAAATGAGAAAACTGAAGCAGATAAAAGTTAGGTGACTTGACCTGGAACACGCAGGTCCTAAGTATCTGAGGGAGGGCTCAAAGCTAGGTCTTCCTCACTCCAAGTCCAGGGTTCTATCCAAAATTCCACTTAGAGGTCAGCTATTGCAAATCTCCTTATTTAACTGATGAGGGAACTGATGCCCATTGAAGTTAATTGCTCAGAATCACATAGGTGATAAGTAGCACGGTTGGGATTCAAATCCAAATGTGTGATTCCAAACACAGTCCACTTCCCATTACACAACATTGCCTCTCTTCAAACACTTCCATTTTCTTCCTTCACTTATACAGGGCATTAGCTTTAGGCAAGGCATAATCTGCTTCCTTTTCTTGAGTGAAATGTTGACTAGCAGAATTACAAGTGTGACTTTCCTCATAGAAACCCAAGGAATTACTGTTTTCATTTTCAGTAATCTATTAAGCTTTTGAAATCTATTCCACTTACTGGATTTTGCTCAATACTCATTATTCCAGTTGTGTAATCTCTCTCTGTGCAAGACAGACCTTGAGAAATGCCCAGTCACTCTCAGTGTTTCTTTCTCCTGAATTTTAAAGTGGAAAAAAGATTTCTCTGTGTTGAATGAGAGGCCTTTCTTCTTCTATGAAAATAGAACAATATTGAGAACAAGTCCCCAGACCAAACCATTGTGGAATCAATGATGAAAGGAGGGTTCTTTTATTGTTTTGGTTTTTTTCAATGATTCCTATTAATTATTCTCAGTTTTCATTAGACCTTTGGAAGGAAGTTTTAATTCCAAAAGGTTGGCCAGGGTCTGAGAAGTCCAAATGGGATGCATAGGTACATGAGCACTATTTATAGGTTCATTGGATTATCAGATTGTAGACTATTAAGATCATAGATCTAGATATGAAAAGGGGCACTGTAGCTATCTAGTTCAACACTCATTTTGTAGATGGGGAAAGTGAGACCAAGAAAGATTAAGTGACTTGGCTGAGGTCAGAGAGGTATTAAGCCTCAGAGACAGCATTTAGATGTAGGCCCTCTGATCCCTCTTGTTAAATTGTCCACTGTTTTTCTTCTATTCTCATAGCCAACAAGACAGTACTTTTCAGCCTTTGCTTGTTGAAATTCACTTTCCTCAAGTGAGAAGTGAAATAAATCTCTGTTGGCTTTTCTCATAAAAAAAGAATCCACAGTTTTGAACCTGGGCCCAACCTTCTTGCCCTGTTTATTAATTTCCCAGGAATGGTAACACATTACCAGCAGAATGATGACCAAAATTCTGGCTTTGGACATTTGATTAAATTTAGCAGAAACATACTTTTTACATTTTTCTTTTGTATCTCAAAAAATACCCTTCAGGCTTTTTTACCCAACATACCTAATATTATTTTTCTGGTCAGTAAATTGCACCCTTCTTCTACCTGCTATGCACCACCCTTATTAAGGGTCATTATCTCCAGGTTTTGAATCTTGTAATGAAGTGTGTCAGACTATTTTCCCATTCACTGTGCCGTCATCTGGAAGAGCTGAATCATTCAGAATCTGATTACATTGTTCCTCATTATTTTCTCTATTCTCCTACCCATTCCTACTTTAAAAAAAAATCCCTTTCCTAGTTCACTTCCTAAACCTTCACAAATAAAATCACTCAGTTCACTAGAAAAATTTAACCGAAGCTCCCTAAAATAATGGTTTGGTGTCTCAGGTGACATTTCCAGTTTTTTAAAAGGTTCCGAAAGTTTTATCCCCAGGTTTCAGTAATAATGGGTCAAAGTGTTTACCGGGGCCTGAATACCTTTCTCGTATTGGGAGAGTTGAGGTGTGACCACACTTCTGGACCAGTAAAGGACCATTTCACATCTCTCATCAGTAATCATTTCAGTGTCTTTCTGGGCTGTGACTCTGGACACAGCCTATTTTCTCCCATCAGTAAGTGGGCCAAGGCAGATGATTTTTTAAACCATTTTCTTAACTTTTTTTTTTTTTGGTTCTACAAGATTCCCATCACTCCTAGCTTGTGGTGTCATAACTTTATTCAAATCTCTTTAGTTTTCTTTTGCCTTCTGTGGATCACTCACAATTCAAAGGTCAAGTCCCATCACTTAACAAATGAATAATTTTTAGCTGAGAGATAGTTCTAGGTTAGGAATTGGGGATTTAGGCTGATTCTTTAACCTGTGGAAGAGATACAGGAGTGGCCATGTGTAATAGGGGTACTGAGTTAGGGTAACCCTATGAGTAACAACAAACGAGGAAGAGGAAAGAAAAATTCAGGACTTACAGCAGATCCATCTCCTCTTTTCTTTTGTCTGATGCAAGATTATAGATAAACACCTGAAAATGGGGGAAAGTAGGTGAGAGGAGGATATTCTTTCCTACAGGTCTATAAAGAATATATTGTTTTACCCTGTTGAGGACATATGGGGAGAATGGGACTACAAGGAAGGGTTTTGTTTATTTGTTTGGTTTTCTTTTTCATCTGGAGACATTCTAGTCCTTTTGGGACCCAAGAATACACACGTGTGACTGAATGAATTCTAACTTCACTGTGTCCCAGTGGCATTTCTCTGTCCCAAAGCTTTATCATGTCACTCTGGTGCCTGA